GAAGAAGACGAGCACGAGGATAAGTAGGAAGAAGAGAAGGAGGAGGAGAAGAAGAAGAAGAAGAAGAGCATGAGGATAAGGAGGAGTAGAAAGAGGAGAAGGAGAAGAAAAAGATGAAGAAGAAGACAGACGAATACAGAAAAAGAAAAACGAAAAAGAAGAACAGGAATAAGCAGAAGAAGAAGAAGAGCACGAGGATAATAATAATAAGAAAAAGAAGAAGAAGGAGGAAGAGGAGACCTTCGCCCACATACATATGAATAACAAGAGTACACTGCTCCATATACCCGTTACCTTAACCGAACTTCAACCTTCAGAAAGCAAAACCCAAGCCCGTGTCTATTTCAACGTACAGCATTCATTCCCGTACACTTATGTGTGTAAAAAATAAAATTCAGTTGAATGAAACCATGGACTACTTTTTCTTAGGGTCCTTTCGTAAGAGTACTCTCTTGATCTTGAACTGCAAGTGTGGGTTTTACTGCTGCATTTACACGAGGGCCAGATTACCGCCAAGTTGTACATCATCCAACAATAGATGACTTGCCAACTGACAGGGTCATTAAATAGGACTACACAAGGCGGGAAAATAATAGAAATGTGTTGACTCTTGCTTGCAGCGTGTAAATCTGATAGTTGTATGTACGGGGATATGTGTATTTGCATTTATTTTGAATGTATGCAACTACTTCTGAATGTTTGTGCTTGTTTGTACGAACGTTCGAATGTTACTGTTTGTATGTATGCAGAAGTTGCGGATTATGTAGTGTTACAGACAAAAGGTGAGAACGCCAGGAACATAAAAAGAAAGAAAGAAAAAGAGAGAGAGAGAGGAAGAAGAATAAGGAAGAAGAGAGAGGAGAAGAAGAAGAAAAAGAAGAAGAAGGGAGAGCAATAATAATAATAATTAGAATCAGAAAAGAAGAGCCAGACGACGACAAAAATTTGGGAGAGAGAAGAGCGAGCGACTGTGAGTGTGTGTGTGTGTGTGTGTGTGTGTGTGTGATAGAGAGAGAGAGAGAGAGAGAGAGAGAGAGAGAGAGAGAGAGAGATGTTGGACCGTTTAGCATCATGTCATGGAAGAGCATCTCTTTATCTTTCTATCATTGCTGCATAGCAAGATCAATTTCGTCACCAAACTGCCCCATAATTACATAATAACGGGCTTTTACTAACATGTTGACCAGTCCTATTACCGCTAAAATGATGACGTGAACTGAGGAGAGAGAGAGAGAGAGAGAGAGAGAGAGAGAGAGAGAGAGAGAGAGAGGGGGGGGGGGGGGAGAGTGAGAAGGGGTGGGAGGGTTTGCCTGACTGCAGTCGAGCTGATGACAAGAAACTGAGAGACCGCACTTCAGACATTTCCAAAAGCGCTCCGTCCCCACGGTAAGCAGCCAGCAAAGAGTTCCAGCTTCGATGATACACGTAACAGCCTGACTGTTTGTCCGTCTTGCCTTTCATCTGATTGCGGAGTGTCGGCCAGAAAACCTGGCCACTCCCCTGACACCATTCTCTTCAGACAGCGATGATCTAATTATGCCTCAGAATCATTCACTATGGGAACCTACGTGGTCTAACAGCTAGACGTTCGCCTGCGGGTCAGCAGGTCGTGGGTTCGGTTCCTGACGGAGGCCGGACTTTTTTCAAAAATGACTGACTCCCAGGTTGACACAGCCTTTAGTTGGTACCAGGTGCAGCCCTGGGAAGTAAAGGCAGCCGCCGTCATGCTGACCACATCACCCACCGAGTACCGTTTGGTCTATAAAATATAGGTCTAGCCCTATATACCCAATATGCCTGAAAGGCGGGGAAAAGGGCCCTTTACTTTTTAAAAATAAACTATTCTCTCACTCCCAAACCACCTTGACAGCATCCACTTGACCACCGAGTGGTGCAGAACCAGACAGTCTGAGTGCCTGTTCGTTGTCCAGCACACCTCCTATACCTGGTGAAAATATCCAAAGGATACTAACTACCCACCTTAGATCTCTAGATCGAAGCTCGCCACTTTTCACTATGCATACTTGTCTTATTTCTCAGCCTGCTTTGTGAGGCTAATAAACAGCATCCTTTCTCGAAAGCTGAAATATTTTGGTCATATCAAGCGCCAAAACGGATTGGAAAAAATTATAGCAGAAGGCATGGTACCAGGAAGGAGGGGCAGGGGCCGACTGGCACGAAGATGGGCACAGGTTATAAGTGACTCCTTGAGTGTGAAAGTTCATGAGGCTTTGTGAGTCAGCTACAATCACAACATGTCGTGCAGCTATTTCTCAAGCCAATGGAAGGCTGCAATGACAGGCTGCACCTCAGTTCTCAAACTTGTGATATATGCCAGGATTATTATGCAAAGGGTCATCCATTAGCTGTCGTTATGAACCCATATGAACTACTGCCTCTCAACACAGAGCTGACAAACTGTGACCTGTGTATTTAGTACTCCATTGATGAAGCCTTTTGGTGAAACGTTTAACTGTGTTTATGCTCATCCTTTTCAATCCCCTCTGTTGACCATCCTAGTCACATTTTATGTTTTTGTGCTACGACTAGTTTGATAAAAAAAAAAATAATAATTATGACGATAAAGAACATTAAATAAATTCTTTTTCTTCTCACGTCTGTAACTCTCTTTCTCTCCATCTCTGATTTCTGCCAATATTTATTATACCTAGTATTATAATTGTTTTAAAATATAGGTAAACTTAGAGCACATTGTAACTAGAATTTTGTTAATGATGCCTATTATTATGATTATTATTACTATTATGTGCTTAAATGATGTGACCTAAAGCGCCACCATTTGAATGAGAATCACCCGGGCACAAGTCCTAGAAAGGTAGTTCAAGCTTTAGGTAATATTAGGACCCTAGATGACAGCCGGGTGTGGGGTTTTAAAGTAACAAAAAAATTTGTTCCATATTTGGGCAAAGTTGACCCAGAGCCAAACTTTAGAGTAACAAAACATTCCGTTCCATATTTGGGCAAAGTTGACCCAGAGCCAAACTTTAAAGTAACAAAACATTCTGTTCCATATTTGGGCAAAGTTGACCCAGAGCCAAACTTTAAAGTAACAAAACATTCCGTTCCATATTTGGGCAAAGTTGACCCAGAGCCATGTTCCAACTGTATAATTGATTAGTTCAGATGAAGTATCTTATTTACTTGAACTATCTCTTCTTAAAGATGAAATGCAATAGCTGTATGAAAGTTTGATGTTTGGAAAGGCAGAATGTAAAATAGGCCTGCATCCCCAGTTTGTTATGATTTTTATTTTAAAGTTAGTTTGTTAGCATCTTTAACTGCAAAAGACACATCTTGACCTGATCTTTATACAGTTTTATCTTATATTTTAGAGTTACAGCACTTTTTATGGTGGCTTTTTCTGGCCAATGTTTACCTTTGATGGCCACATACATGTTGATTATTCAACTGGCCAGACAGAAAAGTGTCTTCTTCTTCGAGATACATCATCTAAGTGAATTTGTGACTTCTTGTTCCTATTTGTTTGTGGTATTGTAGATTTATGTACAAGCATATTTTGATAAAGGCTTTATAGTCACAACATTCACTTGTTGTTTGTGATATTGTAAATCTGACAGGTTTTGCTTTTTTGTTTGGTTTTTATCTTTTCTTGACCTTATGCGTACATCCCCAGGTGAGAACTTGGCTGTGTTTAGGGACCAGACTGGCACAGCACATGTGCTGGACGCCTACTGTCCACACATGGGAGCCAATCTAGCGGCCGGGGGTCGAGTCCTAGGAGACTGCATCGAGTGTCCCTTTCATGCCTGGAAGTTCAGAGGACATGATGGGAAGTGTGTGTCTATACCTTACACAGATAAAAGTAAGTTTCTCTACCTTAACACAGATAAAAGTAAGTTTCTGTACATTAAATTGATAAAAGTAAGTTTCCATACTTTACAAAGATAAAAGTAAATTTCTGAACCTTACACAGATAAAACTAAATTTCTATACATTAAAAAAGATAAAAGTATGTTGCCATACCTTTCATAGAAAACAGTTTTCTATACCTTACACAGACGAAAGTAAGTTTCTCTACGGTACAGGGATAAAAGTAAATTATATACATTAAACTGATAAAAGTAAGTTTTCATACCTTACACAGATATAAGTAAGTGTATATACCTTACACAGATAGAAGTAAGCGTCTGTACCTTATACAGATAAAAGGAAGTGTCTGTACGTTAGGCAGATAAAAATAAGTTTCTATACCTTACACAGATAAATGTAAATATCTATACCTTACACTGATAAAAGTAAGCATTCACACTGTGCACTTATAAAAGCAGTTGCTCAAGGAATAACTATTATATTCCAAAGGAATAACATACTTTACTCTTCCTTTGGGAATAACCATCAAGCTAAATGTCAGCTTTTCCAGGAAAGACACTGAAAATAAGCTTGTGTGATGTTTTACTTTGTCTTTCTTCATGATCATCACTGACAGAGTGCCGATGTCTATAGACATTTGAGTCTAGCATTATACATCCATTTTACTAAAATTGAAAATAAAAGGATTGAGGAAGCAAGGACACCCAAAAGAAACCCTAAAACAAATGCTGTTGAGAGAGGCCAAAGGGGCTGGACTGGATTTCCTTCCTGATATGTAAATGATTGCACACGATTGAACAGAATAAGGAAATAGACTGCAAGTGCTCTGTGGCATATAATGGCACAACAGGACAGTGAATGAATGAATGTTGAATTAAGAATCGACATCACAGCACTCTGGACACTCCCATAAGTGCTCTGTCCCCATCTTCAGCAGCAAGCGAAAAGTTCCAATTCCGATGGTACCAGTAACTGTCTGATTGTATGTCCGTCTCATCCTTGTGTGAATGAATGAATGAATGAATGAATGAATTGTATACCTAATTGGCCTCTGGCATAAAAAGGCTACTTTAAAAACAAAATCTTTTTAAAAACCTGTTTACTTCATGTCTGCCATTAACATCCTCCAATTGCCTACCCTTTATCAGTTCCAGAAATTGCTCGGGTCAAGTCCTGGCCAGTGAGAGAAGTGAATGGGTGGATCTTTATCTGGCATCATGTTGAGGGTCTAGAACCCAGCTGGTCAATCCCGATTGCTGAAGAGGTGGAGAGATCAACATGGGTGTACCGTGGGAGGACTGAGCATTATGTGAATGCTCACATCGAGGTATCTCACTCTTTCTTCCTCTTCATTTGCCTATCTTATTCTCATTTATATGTGATCATGTAGGAATTTATATATTTATTATACTGTGCTCCCTGTGTGGGTTCCAGAACCCCATTTTGGAAAAAAAGAATAGACCCACTGCTTCCCTCTCAAGCATGTCATAAAAAGCAACTAATTAGGGCTTTTATTCTCTGATAAAGTCAGAGCGTATTTTCCTGAGACCTGAGAGGCAACGAACCAACAGTTTCACTTATTATCCACTGAGTGTTTCACTCACTATCCACCGAATGTTTCACTCACTATCCACCGAGTGTTTCACTCACTATCCACCAAGTGTTTCACTCACTATCCACAGAGTGTTTCACTCACTATCCACCAAGTGTTTCTCTCACTATCCACCGAGTGTTTCACTCACTATCCACAGAGTGTTTCACTCACTATACACTGAGTGTTTCACTCAATATCCACCGAGTGTTTCACTCAATATCCACCGAATGTTTCACTCATTATCCACCAAGTGTTTCACTTACTATCCACCAAGTGTTTCACTCACTATCCACTGAGGGTTTCACTCACTATCCACCGAGTGTAGTTTCACTCACTATCCACCGAGTGTTTCACTCATTAACCACCAAGTGTTTCACTCACTATCCACCAAGTGTTTCACTCACTATCCACCAAGTGTTTCACTCACTATCCACCGAGTGTTTCACTCACTATCCACATAGTGTTTCACTCACTATCCACCAAGTGTTTCACTCACTATCCACAGAATGTTTCACTCACTATCCACCGAGTGTTTCACTCACTATCCACATAGTGTTTCACTCACTATCCACCGAGTGTTTCACTCATTATCCACCGAGTGTTTCACTCATTATCCACAAAGTGTTTCACTCACTATCCACAGAGTGTTTCACTCCCTATCAACCCATCACTGATTGGTTAAAAAAAATTTTATGTCCAAAATGCCTGCAAGCGTGAAAAAGGCTCCTTTACTCGACTTCTATTGTCATTTCACTGATACCAGGTGTAGTCCAGAGTCCTGGCTTTTTTAAACTCTATTCTACTCTGCCATATTCTTTCTCTCTCTCTATTTTTAATGTTTAATGTTAAGAATCAATGTCACAACACTCAGGACATTCCCATAAGTGCGCCATCCCCATCTTCAGCCGCAAGCGAAGAGTTCCAGTTCCAGTGATACCAACAGCAGTCTAATTGTATATCCGTCTCACCTTTTTCTTGAGTGCTGATCGTCACTCCTCCCTGTACCATTCTCTTCAGACCATGATGACCCAATTGTGCTTCTGTCTCTCTTTTAGTTGTTGATCTTACCCTTTACTTCTCTTGACCAATCTCCTCTCTCTTTTTCTGGTTCAAGTTTTCTTTTAATCCCCCCTTTTTTCCTTCTTTTGTCATCTCACTGATACCAGGTTGTAGCCTAGTGTTGTGGTGTTCTATATTTGTCTCTTGGGTGGTTAGGTAGTAGATTTATTCATTTTTTTTGGCAGATTTCAGCTACACCATTTATTCATCTCTCTCTTGTCCTTCCCCACACCTTCCTCCCAGAAGTTTTGCTGTAAAGTCTTCCATTACGTAAAAGCTGGTATTTACGGCCTCAAATATTCCATCTATCCATATTTGTATGGTTGACCTCTAGATTGGCTTCCATTATGGGCTATTTGTGATCCACTATCTGATGGTAATCTTGACAGATGTCTGAACCATTTGATCTGTTGGTTCTACTGCTACTACTACCACTAACTTTATTTCCCTTTTTTGTCACACAGCTTATGAATGCACCCATTTTCTGTACCTCATCTTTTCGTCTGCAGGAAATACCAGAAAATGGCGCAGATGTTGTCCACTTGAAACAAGTTCATGGGCCCATTGTGACTGCAGGATCTGATCTCAGGACAATGTGGAACAAGCGCTGGGCATTTGCCGAGCACCACTGGACGGCAGCTTGGGAGCAGATGACTGAACCTGACGGCCATATTGGTTTGATGAAGCTAACTCACGATATTTCCGTATTTGGTTTCGTCCTCCCCTTGTTGAATTTCAAAGTCATGGCCAGACAAGTGAGTGTCTTGTCTTCATACTTCCGTTAAGATTTCAGTGGTCCATTGTTTAAAGAACTCTGCTCTTAACCCTTTGGAGACAATGCGGCCGAAATATCTGCCTGACACAAAGTAGCCAAATGGACGACTGGACTGACCGGTCAGCCCTGCATAATACAAGCTTTTGGCTGGCAGGTTTTCATACCAGCCAATCAGATAACCACTCGCACATTTCTTGCATATGTGAGCTGTTTACTGATGCCTTTTAAAAAAGTTTGATGCGTTCGGTTATTTTACATCAATGTTTTTCTTGGGTTACCTGTGCATAAACAATGGCGAAAAGGACTGTTGTGACAAAGCAACCGAAACATAACTGGAGGCAGGAAAATGAGTAGAACCATGTGCCAGAAGTGTCTGAAGGGCCTCCAAGGGCCTTAATTTCCAAAACACAAGTGTTAGGACTTATTCAAGCTCCATCCATCAAAAAATGCACCAATTTTTTTAGGTTACTTAAGTTTGTTCCCAAGTAAAAAAAAAATTCTTGCATAAATTATTCTAATCAGAATGGTAAATTTGAAAAAATCTTGGGATTTCATTTTGATTCATAAATATTATGTCAGCTCATTAAATTTCCTACACATATAAATCTAGTTTTGTATATGTTAATTTAACGCTATATTGTTTATAATTTGTTGTGTATAAACTGTGTGAAACTCCTACTGGAGGCTCCTTCATTTTTGGCACTGAAATTCTAAAAAGGGTCCGTCTCCAGAGGGTTAACAAGCAAGTTGTAAAATTAGACTGATTAGAGATGTTTCCTTTAAAACCAGAGTGCATCTGCCTGAGAGATCAGGAAAATACAGTCCGCATACAAATAAGCCAGACCTGTAAAACAAATTTGCATGCAAAACTCAAGTTCTAGAATAAGACTAAAGTCAAGAAGTGGATGAACAACCAGAAGTTTTCATTGGAGTTACAAGACAAGAGACAGACCAAGGAAGTGATGGGTGGATGGAGTAAAAGAGACCCTAATAAAATGCAGTATGACATTAACATGAGCTACACAGCTAGCAAAAGACAGGAAACTATGTATAATTCTTTCTGCAATGCTTTATGGCATACACAGTTGGACAAAAGAAGAAAATTATCAATTCAGGTGTCAACATAATGCCTCATTGTGTCCCCATACATTCAAACACAAGTGTGCATAATTTTATTTTCAAAAGCAGGAGAGTTCAGCGCAGCGGTGTAGTCAAAAATTCTACTTTTCTAAATGGAGATTTATAAAACAGAATTTAAAAAATCACATCTTCAAGTATGTTTTAATGCCGTGATTCTCACCCAAACATGTTTGTGTGTGTGTGTGTTTAAAAAAAAATTGTAACCTCATCGTGTCATGGTGAGGTGGCCTGAAACCCCATACATTAAAAAAAATAGGCCTTTAATAGAGTCAATAAGAACACATAGAAAATGGATGTTTCAGTATAATATATTTTTTGCTCTCCTTTGAATCAACCCCCAAAATTGCGGCTTTAATATGATGGCGTTCGAAAGAGAGCTAAATTGGCCAATTTCTTGCCATAAAATATCCAAAAATATCAGAATGCGGGTCAGTTCTATTAAAAATATATGTGCCGGCTCCGGATAACGAAACAAATGCTCTGACAGGGTCTCGGTGATATGTTACTTGCCGACCTGCTTCTGCGAGTGTGCCTCACCGCCGAGCGTATCCCCCCCGCGCCGCTACGCGCGGCGCGGATGGGGACTAAACTAGGTGCCTGGGACTCACGAGTAGTAATTGGAGGAAGTTGCAGGAGATGCGGTAGCTGCAGCGAAGACCTAGACTTCGCCGACGACATAGCACTCCTGAGTTCAGAACACACAGACGCCCAAGAAAAAATCAATCGACTCCAGAATTTCTCAGAACAAATTGGACTCCAAATTAACACAGCAAAAACAAAAATTCTAGACCTTACCAACAGTTCAGTTGATATCACGCTGAACAACAACAGCCTTGAAAAAGTCAACAGTTTCACTTATCTAGGGAGCAAGATGTCATCTACAGGAGATACCGCACCAGAAATATCATTTAGAATAGCACTGGCATCTAGTGCCTTCAATAAACTGTCTAACATCTGGAAATCAAAGACACTTAGCAAACACACAAAACTCAAGATCTTCAATTCTTGTGTGATCCCAGTACTAACCTATGGATGCGAGAGCTGGAAATCAACGAAAACTCTAGACACAAAATTAGACAGTTTTGAAAATAAATGCCTTAGAAGAATACTAAATTTCAAATGGTCAGATTTCCGAACCAATACACAAATAAGACAAGAATCCAGGCAAGAGTATGTGTCTAATTTTATACGAAAACGCCGCTGGAACTATGTCGGCCACGCCCTTAGAATGGATAAATCAAGACTTCCTTACCAAGCCCTCATTTGGACACCACAGGGGAAAAGATCTCGTGGAAGACCAAGGGAAACCCTACGTAGAACTATCATCAGGGAAGGCTCGCTCATGGGCCACTCAAACATCCAAGACCTACAACGGATTGCAACGGACCGCCGTGCATGGAGAGTCATGACCTCTGCCCTATGTGCCGCACTCGACACAAGAGGAAAGACTAACTAACTAACTACTACCGTGTGAATTGTTCATATTGTCAAGTAATCCTAGTTTTGCCGCGATTTATTCCTTGGCAGAAAGTCCATATTTTAGATAAACGTGAACACCGTCGTTCGGATATTTTTGGATATTTTATGGCCAGAATGTGGCATGCCGCCATTTTGGGGGTTGATTCAAAGGAGAGACATATTTTTTTTTTTAAAATGTTAATGTGTGACATATTTAAGGTGATGATTAAAATTGTAATGCATTATTAGCAAAGTTAATATTTTTGAACAATTGATTTGCAGATATGATTTAATTATTTTTTTAAAAAAAGAATTTGCTGGTAACAAAGAAACACCATTGCTACCCACAAGAAACAAGGCTAGGCACTCAGCACTTGTGTATTATTATTATTCTATTATTCTTTTATATTATTATATTATTATTATAAGAATTATCCAATCAAAAGTTTAGCAGGCCCAACATTCTGTAAAGAAATCTTGTATAGGAAACAATGACAAATTTTTTTTATTGTTCTCGCTTCTTAAAATTGTTATATCTTACCCGGTGACCCCACAGTAAACCTTTCAGAACTCTAAATGGGTTGGGAACCCATGGTTTAAAACATTTTTTTTAAACAGGTAAAATGTTCTATTTATTAATTTTAAAAGCAGAGAGTGTCGCTATATGGCTTTTGGGTTGATGAATGCATTTCACAAGTTAAATTCCTTGATATACCAGAGTTATCTTTCCATGATGGATGGTTTGTTTAATAAACAGAAGAATGTTCTCGTGGCTTTCAGACAGTTAAAGTTAAGAGGATCAACTTCATTGCACCAAGTTTTATTTCTTTAAGGCTCAGTCTCTCTCTGCAGAACAGCCTGCTCCCTGCTCACACAAAGCACAAACTCTATAGCTTGAGTGTTGATCCCCAGTGTTCTCCATAAAAATTGCACTCGGGAACTAAATGTCCCAGCCATAAAGCGAACATAACCTTTAGAGCACGAGGCAAATGGCTTAACCACTTCACATGGAGACAATGTTCGAAGGCCTCAAGACGCATCATAACCAAAGAAACGGTGAAGTTTGTACTAGAGACAACAGAAATAGATAATTTATTTAAAGTGAATAAAAGAAGTAGTAGTTTATGTTAATTCAACAGATCAACATTATGGCACACCGGTGAAACCCATAAGTGCTCTGTCTACTTGTAACTCAAGCCTGAGTCCTAAGAATCTCAGCACAGTGCACGAACTCTGTTACACCGTTGAGGATCCTGAAATACTTTGGGTAGATTTGTAACTGCAAATTTTGCCCATGCAGCAGGGGTAGGCTACTTTTTTTTGATTTCCAACTGTCAAGGGATTTTTTATGTGCGCAAGAATACATATGGGCGTCCGATCTCACTACCCAGAGACCAGTGAAAGTTACTAGAAATACACGTGAAAAAATCCCATCCGTTACCGGAGCCCAGATATTTCCAGCACCTGAGGCGAACACCATACCTCAAGACCACTTATCCCCCAAGGAAGAAGGAGGAGAAGATACCGAAAGACAAAAGTAAATATACTGCAGCCAACTCTCATCATGGAGATAGGAAACAATTAATTAACAAAAGAAAGAAAAGCCACTTTTTTAGGGTCGTTCCATAGCTATTTTGACACTGCGGAATTATCAGGCATATGGTAGTAAAGTAAAAGTAAAGTACCCTTTTCCACACATTTAGTTGTACTGGGCATATAGGGCTAGTCTTATATAGACCATTCGGCACTCGGTGGGGGATGTAGTCAGCATTACACAGGCCCAGGTGCAAGGTATTAAACCCATTATTTTATAGACCATCTGGAACTTGATGTGTGATGGTGTCAAGATCTTGCCAGAAAGCTTTGCTTCCAAGGACATTTCCTGGTACCCAAGCCAGACTGGACTAGCCTTGAACACTAGGTCAGCTATTTAAAAATGTGCCGTGTTGCAGATCTGAACCAGAGCTTTTTTGAGTCTACGATATTCTATTTGTTTTTCTCAGAGATCACATTACCTCAGACCAGTTGTTGCCAACTTTCGAGCCCTAAGGAATCCACATGAACTTTCTCAAAAACTGAATGAAATCTAATGAATAAGTTTCAGAAAACAAAATGCAGGTAAAGGGCTCTGCCAAAGAAATGTGATTCCGAAAATTCCTGAATGAGCCAAAGTAGTTGGGAATCGCTGCCTCAGACGTTTAAAAAACAATCTTTACTGTCTGTATTTATAAGAATGAGGACCCGGCCTGCTAGCTCAGTTAGTTAAACCTGACTATGCCGCGACCTAGTGACAAACTCCTGTGGTCCGGATTCACACCTGGGTATAGGAAAAAAAGATACATTTTTACCGGATTTACGGTATTTATCATGGAATCCAGGCTGAAGGGTTGCAGTATCCATAGTACCGAGCCAAAGGGTTAACAACTCATGGTTCCTGGATATTAAAAAAAAAAGGAGGAGGAGGAGGGAGGAAAACAGGAAGATGCGAAGATTCGGGGGGTGGGGGGGGGGGGGGGGGGTCATGAGCCTGAGGATTTAGTAGGGCTGCATGCCTAGTGCTGTTGCCATGGACTACAGGTTTGGATATTTTTGTCTCAGTATCCCTATACAGGTTCTGTGCATCACTTCTAAGACCTCTTCTCACAACATTTGGTAACTTTTTAATTCAGTAAAAAATTGACATTTTTTTGTAAATCATATATCCCAGATAGGGCCCGCAATAGTCTACCTGGAGTTTGACAGCTTTTTTGGTAGAGGGATGTTTATGCAGATGGTCACACCACAAGCTCCACTGGTTCAGAAAGTGGTCCAGAATATCTTCGCCACCAGGTGGATGCCAGCAGCAATTGCCAAGTTTTACCTGATGTCGGAAGCCTTACAGGTAATTCTTCTTTTTCTCCTACTCTTTTTCCTTCTTCTCCAGTTCCTTTTCTTCCTTTTCCTCCTTTTCCTTCTTCTTTTAGATATGTCAGGGAAGCATATTAGGACAAAGAAGAGTTCACAATGCATGCATTACACATCCCTCAACTTTTGGCAATGAAAATAGCAGACCAGTCAGGCAAGTGAATTCAAAAATATCTAAGAATTTCATTAAAGATAAGTTTGCTAAAACCAATCTGTTGCCCTGAAAAGTGCAGGGTACTAATCACGAAGTTCACCCCATCTCGTTCGACTGTGTGATTTCTTATTCGTTCCCATGGGCTGTCCAATATCTAGGGGTACCAGGTCTTGCTTGTTTTTAACATTTTAAGCACATCCACCACGGACTACAACCAATGCTAACGAAAGAGCATAGAAATACAAAAACATAAATGATTTGGCACTCAGGAACTGTCACGCCTTTGGTGCTTCCCCCTGCAGTACTTCTTTCTTGTAGAAAGGTGTCTGCAGCGTCTGAGCTACTCACAGCACATTCCAGAAATGACAGTTATTCACAAAAAAGACAGTTGCGACAAGAAAGCTGTGCAGTTTTGTATAGGTAATAGTGTATTGACCATATCAAACGAATGTGAGCCAGTTTTTGCCACAGTGTGTAAAGATGGGAAAGGAAGGCATTTCATAACAACCCTAGAACATAGGATAACCTGTGGGAGTGGCCCCAAAATCAGGTGCCTGAGCGAGATGGGGTGAATTCCGTGATTAGTACCAAGTGCAGAATAAAAAGAAGATCCTCTATTAAGTTGATCCATAAGCAAGAGATGTGTAACATGAGTTTGTTGAAATTGTATGTATTGTCCCCATGTTGGTTCCTGGATGCTATTGGGGGGGGGGGGGGGTGACCTTCTTTAACAAGCTTGTTGTAGGATGTGACTAATTAGGGGTGTTTACTTTGAAGTTGGAGTGCATCTATATAGTCTGCACACAAATAAGCCAGATCTGTAAAACAGATGCACATGCAGAAGGTTATGAGACAAGACCACAGTCCAGAAGTGGACGAACAATCAGAACTTTCAGCTGGAATTTACAGCCATCAAATCAAAAAAAAAAAAAAAAAGATGCAGATATTGCAGCCTTGCTGTAAACCACGACACAAGGTCCCAACCACCTCTTTGAGGGTTAACATAAAAGAAGAATAAATGGTAAAGTATTAAAATAAACACCACAATGTAAGCACTGTACAGCATTAAAAACATCCACTTTTGTTTTTTATTTTTCCTCAAGGTGGAGAGAGATATCATGATTTGGAACAACAAACAATACGCCGGCCGCCCTCTATTCGTCAGATCAAAAGAAGATTCTCTCATATCTAAACACAGGCGCTGGTATTCCCAGTTCTATTCAAAGAGAGAAAACTCCGGGTATTTCCAGAAAGAAGGACTGGATTTTTAATAAGTATTTTAAATTAATTTTCAAGCTATGTCCCATGTTGATCAGTTTGCTAATTATTGTATTGATGAAATTGTCTGCCTTTGTAAAACAATAATGAAATCCAGATTGACTGAAAAACTGTTTTGCCTCCTTTTTTACGTGAAACATTTAATTATACTTCGTAAATATGAGTCACAAATGCAGATACTGTCTTGATTAGCACCTATGCTATTATCATTCAGTTGTTCTGACCCCAGTCTGGACTTCAGTTTACTACGTAACCAATGGGTGCCCAAAAATAACTACTTTTTACAGCTGAATAAGGTTTCCGAGATTTGTACCTGTATGATTCTCATTCTTGAGGTGTAAATCCCACAGAATGTATTCCTGAAAGGGAACAGTTATCTTACATATGCTATTATTTTTTTACTAAAAGCAGTATAATCATCATCATGATTGTATGCAATGCTTGCAGATGGGTGTGATCATGCTAGTGCATAAGCAATGGATGTGTCTGATTTTATGCACTAAGGATAAATGTTTGGAAATTGTGTATGATTTTTGTTCAAACAATACTTTTGTGTATTTTCTTCTTCTTGTTTTCTCTTTCTTAAGTAAATGTCAGGGGGAAAATTATCTAGGCTGTTATCCTCAAAGACAGGAAACATATTGAAAGACAGAGAATGAATTGGTTTGGCCATTTAGTAAGAATGCAACCGGATCAGATTGCCTATAAGGCCTTTTACAGTAGAACATCTGGAAGAAAGGCCAGAGGAAGACCCAGGAAAAAATGGATAGATGGAGTAGCTGAATACGGCCAGAAGATCCAGAAAACTGTCACTCAAATCACGCGAGAGGCTCAAAACAAATATTTTAAACCACGACACTGGGCTACAACCCGGTAAAAGTGAAGAAGACAATAGATAGAGATAGATCCTCAAAGACAGAATTTATTTAAAGTTACAATGCACAAGTTTCTTTAAGCACAGTGTGGCAGTGCATGGTCATCATCAAATGCCTTGCCAGCTGGTGTAGGCATTCATGCATCTCCAAAGATCTCAGACCTCAGTGTTGTGGATCAATTCCACTGATGATATTCCTCCATGGCTTGAGACAGAGGCATGGAGGAATATCATTAGTGGAACTAATCCAGAACACCGAGGACCGAGATCTTTGGAGAGGCACGAATGCCTATGTCAGTTGGCAATGCACTTGATGATGATAATGCACTGCCAGACTTTGTGGTTAAGAAATTTTATGATCCTTGCGGTTTGATTTTCACACCGGATAATTTATTTAAAAAATTGCTTTCATGGTTTTCAGAAAGTGGTATGAGAGTTGCACCATGTAAGAAATTGAGGTTTCAGTACATAATAATCCCAACAATATCATTAATATAATTGATTTATTGAAAGGACCAAACAGTGGGAAGGGATTTGAAAAATCTACTAGATCTGAAAAGGCTCATGGTGATGGTGGCATAAAGAGTTAATTGATAATCCTAAGAATGCCGTCTGATGAAAATGCCTTGATGCCAGCACTTGATGATGATGATTTTACACAGTTCACCACTAAATCTTTTACAAATATATTTATCTACATGAAATTTGTTTTCTTCAAAATATAACAAGATACATAACTGGGATAATCAATAAAAATGGAGAGTGTGCATCATTAAATGGAATGCAGTCCCCAGACCTAAAACATATCTCTATAGGGCAACTCATGCAATGACCTCAGTTGCTGAGGTTTACATGAAAATTTTGCTTTACAAACAGCAAGAGCTAGATTTAACCTTTTTGTGTGACAGAGTTAAAGAGATTAAGATTAACTTATGCAGCACATTAGAATGAGAACACATATGATCCTTACCACCCCCCTCCCACCCACCCTCATTTTTATTTTTTACACTTTTATGAGGTAACTGAAGGGGAAATAAGAAGAAGAAGAAGAAGAAAAAGAATAAGAAATAGAAAAAAAGAAGAAAAAGAAGATAAAGAAAAAAGAAGAAAAAGAACAAGAAGAAGAAGTAATACAAGTTGTAGAATAAAACAAAATATGTTGACTAGTGAGCTTACTGAACGTTGCCTTTGAATATTGTGAGAAAATATCCTTAATATAGTACATTTCTTAAGATATCAGTTTTTGCATCCATGTTCATTGTGTAAGTACAGTTAATTGAGTTGATATCATCATGAGATGTTTCAGCAGCATCAAATGTTTCAGCGGTGAGCTATTCAAAAGCTACATGATCATTCCATTCCATGGTTGTCTGTTATTTAGCCTTCCTCTAATTCCAGACATGTCTGCGTCAATAGATCTCTGGATGTCTGTTTTGTAAATGTGTTTTCCAAGTTTACTCATTCCTCTTTATTATCCAGCCTGGGTACCAGGTAATGTCCTAGGCAGGGTTTTTGTTTCAGGGAAAAAAGGTGCCGGTACTTACCAAGTGTCTACGAAAGGTGCCAATTACTCACCAAACAATGTGTCTGACAGTTGCTCTGAAAATTAATGCCTTAAAAAAAGGGCCCAGGTACTACATACCATTGCATGCCACCAGACAAAAGCTCTGGTCCTAGGAAATAAAAGCAGCCAGCATTATGTTAACCATATAAGCCACTGAGTGCTGGTTGGCCTATAAAAGTATGTGTCCAGCATTATACGAGTGATGACCTTCTGGCATAAAAAGGGTCTTTGACTGACCTTTACTATTGTTTGCACTTCTCAGGAGCCTCTGTGGCTGAGTGAGTCGACAGTTTGGAAGGTCGTAGGTTTGTTTTTGGGCGTTTTCTGTGTGGGCCTCATTTGGGGAAAAAGAGAATAATGCTATGTTTGTGTTTTATTATTTCACTTGCATGTATGGATGTGTTTTGTGTGTGTGTGTGCTGATTTTGTTTTGATGCATAATTACCAGCACAATGGTCTTGCTCTGCATTTGAAAAAAAAAAAAAACATTTCCTGGGCATTTGCTTTAATTGTTTCATTAATTTTCTTGCCAGCTGAACTCTTTTGCCCCAGGAAAACTAAATGAAATAGATCACGACCCTGTTGAAATTCCAGAACAAAATCCATTAAAAAAAATTACTGCAAAAGCGACTAATAAATTTGTTTAAAGTTTATTTACATTTTTTACACTATTAAAAAAAATGTGCCTCTTTCATTTAATTCTTTTATTCTGTGCTCAATTTCTTTGTACTGACTGAAGAAGTTATACATTACGAAACATATTTCAGTTGCCGACAGGTCTTTCACAGTAATCTATGTGCTTTATAATTTGCATACATTTATTAAAGTACTTTAAAATTTTGACTTTTTGGGGCTATAAGTTGTCAAATATCATTTTATTACCAATTTACATTGACAGACGAGTGACAGGTGTGAGTTGATCTGAATGCAGCAGATGTAAATGTCATGAATAATTTATCTGCAGTATTAGGAAATGAAAGCTGCTGATCAATTTAAAATGGTAATAACTATGTACTTCATTTGTAAATAAAAAACTTGTATTTGTGAGCGAAACAAATTGTATTTTTGTTTAGGAAAGTCATCAAGAAAACATACAGGCTGATATGG